CAATCATAGCCATTACTTCTGAAACTAGTAAGCTCCTTTGTACTTCTATTCATCTTTCTCAAATTCTCAATGCTGAGGCTTGACATTGTTTGGTATTTCTTCTTTTGCAGCAACAACTACTTTGCCTATTCTTCCAATAAGGACTCCATCAGTTTTAGTCGAAGTTGAACAACCTCAAGATGTGGAGCCCATTCAAATAATTCTCCCATTTCCTGGCCCTATATTTTCCATACCCTTCTTGAGGCCAAGTATTCCTGCTTCTCTTTCTTCTGGCTTAACTCCATACCTCCCTCATTTGTCTTTTGATTTTACTCAATTTGATTCTCTTTCGAGCCTTGCTTCTTCTCCCCCTCCTAAGGAAATTCCAACTGACACTTCATCTTTGATGGTAGCTGATTCCTGTAGAGAAGGTACTGGTAGCTCTCTAACTCATGGTCCATTATCTCTGCCTAGCTTCAGTCCTTCTTCTCTTGACCAACTGGTAGCAAAAACCATAGAGACTGCTAAGGACACTCCATCTTCTTCTCTGATTCCCATGCAGTCATTTCTTCCTTCTACCAGAGCTCTTTCTGCACCTTCCATGTCAATAGATAAGGTGGACATTTTTGAGGCTAGACTAGCTAGTCTTTTTGACATACCTTCCACCTCTCCATTAACTAGCAATGAGACTGAGCCATTAGTTCTAGCTGGTTCTCTGCTAGAAATTTTTAAGAACTCTTCCTTCAGTGGTAAGACTTCTTTGCCTTCGATAGACTTAGACAACTGTCTGGAGCTGCTAGCATCGTTTTCGAGGATTCCTTTCGAAGCCTTACAGAGGCCTAAAATTAAAGATGGCTTCCTCCAGTATTGCAAGGTTGTTGAGCAATCCGACATGGCTGTCTCAAGTTATTTATCTCAGGCAGCAGCTACCATTGATTTTTACATCAACATTTGCCATGCTGCCAAGGCTGCGGAGGAAAAATTGGTGAGGGATCAGAGCTTTGTTTCCAAGGTACATACTGAGGTGTCAGAATTGAAGGAACGACATTCCTCTGTCTCCCAATTTCGAGCTCAACTATTAGAGAAGAAAGCTCAACTTGAGGAAGAATTATCAGCAGTTAACCAAGATTTGGATCGGACTACTACCAAGCTGCAAATCACTAATCAAGAGCTAGCTGATCAAAAGCAAGAGATGACTACAGTTATTCAATTGTTTCCATCCCTCAAGAATAGAGCATCTATTGTAAAAGAACAATTTAAACACTGTACTGACTTTTAGGCCAATCTATGGTTATATGTATTTGACTCTTTATGAAATAAATTCTTATTTATCATTGAAATATTCTCATGTTTTTTTATTTAGCACTTATTCTATTCCTTGTGTTTTCCACACGGTTGGATAATAAGGCTTCAAATATCTGCCATTAATCATTTTAGGATGTACATATCCATTCAAATTTCTCAAATGGTATGCTCCAAAAGAAAGAACTCTATGAACTTGATATGGTCCTTCCCAGTTAGGTGACCATTTGCCAAACTTATGACTTTTAATCCCTATTGGGAGTATTGTCTTCCATACCAAATCACCTTCATCAAAGCCAATGTGCTTGACTTTCTTGTTATAGTTTTTGGCTGCTTTCTTCTTTTGGAAAAGAATGCTATTTAATGCCAGAATCCTAGCCTCATCTATACTTTCTAATTCCAAGCACATACTCTGATGGTATTGCTCAAGATCTAACTGGTCTTGGCATCTCACCCTCAAGAACTTAACATTAATTTCCACAAGTAGCACTGCATCATGCCCATACACTAAGGCATATGGAGTGATTTCTGTACTTGATCTTGGAGAAGTCCTATAAGCCCACAATACATCCAACAATAAGTTATGTCAATCCCTAGGATTGTCTTCCACAACTTTCTGTATTTATTTTTTCAAAAACTTATTGGATGATTCAGCTTGACCATTGACTTGTGCATAATAAGGAGTGGAATTAACAAGGCTAATTCCAAACTCTATCACAAAAGACTTTACCATTTTCCCATCAAATACAATCCCATTATCAACAGTTATAGTCTGTGGGATACCAAATCTATGGATTAAATCCTTAATGAATCCAATGACTTCAGTCTGGTCTACAGCCTTGTATGGCTTAGCTTCGACCCACTTAGTGAAGTAATTAGTGGCCACTAAAATGAAACAATGATGTTTCGAAGAGGGTGAGTGTATTTTCCCCATCATATCCATGGCCCATCCTCTAAATGGCCAAGGCTTCACAACTGCATGCAGGTCAGTTATGGGCACGTGCCTTATTGTGCCATGTTTTTGGCATGCCTGGCAACCTCTTGCATATTCTATGCAGTCTTTAAGGATAGTTGGCCAATAGTAGGAATGCCTTCGAAGCAACCATCTCATCTTCACACCAGGCTGATGAGCACCACAGATGCCTTCATGAACCTCAGCCATAGCTGTCAATGCTTCCTTTGGGCCTAAACATTCCAACAATAACCCATCTCTCCCCCTTTTGTAGAGAGCATTACCATACATTATGTATTGCATAGATTGCAATTTAATTTTTCTGCTGGCTTTCGAAGATGGGCCAGCCAGATACTGAATTATTGGATGCCTCCAATCTTGTTCTTGTAAGTCATTATGATTGACTTCCAGGACCACATTCCTTTTATTCAAGGGTGTTATTACTTTCTGATATGTTGTTTGGTTTATGTTCCCTTGGATATTATCCCTTCTCTTGAAATTCGAAGATTTCTGAGTCACATAATTAGCTTTATTATTCAAGAATCTTGGGACATGAGTTACATTTGCTATCTGAAATTGAGAAAGCAGATGTAATGCAACAACATAGTATGGCAACATGCTTATACTTTGACATTTGAAAACCCCTTTCACTTGGCTAACTACCAATTGAGAATCCCCAAATATATCAACTGCATGAGCTTGTAATCCAATAAGTATTTCCAGTCTCATTATTAAGGCTTCATATTCAGCTTGATTATTGGAACAAGTAATTTCATCCACTCTGAAACCATGTGTGGTCTCTACTCCTTGTGGTGACTTAATTATTATACCAATTCCAGTTAAACCATTGGTTTTTGATCAATCGAACCACATTTGCCATGGTTCAACACTAACCATACTAAGCTCCATTATCTCTTGGCTTTCGGTTTGAGACGGATGGTCTGCCAAAAAATTAGTTAAAACTTGTTCTTTTACTACCTTTTGAGGAACATATTCTAAATGAAATTCTGATAAGGCTAGTATCCATTTGCCAATTCTTCCTCTCAATATAGGTCGAACTGCACTTCTAACCGTCGAAACGCTCCTCTATGATCGCTGATCATGTTGCCTTATAGTTAGCTCCACTACGCCAATACCGACAGTTAGGCTTCTCTCCTGATTTTGAATTTAAATGTGAGTAACCGTTGAAGCCACATCACTTTGCATCTCTTTGCTGATCCAATACTACGCAGATCTTATGAAAATCAATATTAACTGTCACGTGGACGATCACGGTCGAAGGTTTGAATTGTCTTCCCGTATTACCTTCAACCTACCACGTGTTGAACTGTGATTGACTTTATACAAAATATGTAGCCAACAAACATGTAATGATTTTTTTGTTATTTTCATGATTAATTTATCACTAGATACAAAATAACGAGTCAAACATATAAATATGAAAAGAAATTCTTTGCATAACATTACTTTTAAAATTAAAAAAATAATAATAATCTAATGGCTTTAAGCGGATGAAATCATCTGGACTAACTAGTTGCTTATTCATCAATATTCATTCAGAAGTAATAAAAATATTATTTCCAATGTACCTAAAAAAAAGAGGTAATCAAAATAGACATGTCTAGTCAACACAAAAGCCTCCCTTAGTCACTCAAAAACAAGGGGTAATCAAAATAGACATGTCCAGTCAAAACACAAAAGCCTCCCTTAGTCACTCAAAAACAAGGGGTAATCAAAATAGACATGTCTAGTCAAAACACAAAAGCCTCCCTTAGTTACTAGTGTGATGACATAGATAAGAACAATAATACATTAAACACAAATCATACAAAACAGTAATACTAGAGACAAAGAATTTTCAAAAATAAATAAATAAGTAATATGATTTAAATTCAATTAGTGTATAATGGGTTTTACACTAAAAATAAATTTGGATTACGCACTTATTTTCTTGATACTTTTTTGTATTAGAGTTTTTAGTATGTAGCATTACTGTACACAAAATTAAACATAAAAGAGAACATAAATGAACAAGATTAAGAGGCGGCGGGAGTGAGGACCCGGGGATTTTTTTTTTTTTTCCAAATATAAAGAAAAAATTTTAAATAAAAAAATTATAAAAATATTATTAGAGTGAAATGACAACACATTTTAAAAATTATGAGAATAATAATAGTTGTTTTGATTGAAAATGAAGAGACTACTAAACCATATTATTTATGAAAATTTTATGAATTTTTTTTAATGTAATGGTGATGTAAATATAAGTAATATCACTATAAAGATATGAAATTTATTGGATTGTTAGTTATATTTAACATGTGAGATTCGCTCTCTATGTATTTATTTACTATTAGTTGGTGATATCACATATCAATGATGACGTGGTATTACCATATATTGAATTTTTAATCAAATTTTATATAAAAAATAATTTATTATTATATAATTTATTTTAAGACTTATATCTATATTTTTTTTTGTATTGTCAGTTATAAATAACATTATTTTTTTGATATTTCTCGAAATCAATCGTAAAATTTACGTGAAATATTTTTATAAAATTTTTTGATATTGTAATTAATAAGTGTCACATCTAATTTAATTTTCTGACTCCGCTACTGACAAGATTTATTAGTGAAGCTTATTTTACAAAATTTATATCAGACTGTTATCCATATATATGTGTCTGATTTTGTATTTAATTTTTATATTCATAAATTTACTAGTATAAAAATGTGTCTTCAACCACTTAGCATGTACCCAAAAATACACCTCTCTCTCTCCCTCTCTCAAAATGGATTTGCTTTCACTTGAGCAAGCAAGTGCAACTCTTCTAGCGTTAGTTTTACTTTACTTTTTGTGGGGATTGATAACAAACAATACTCATGCAAGGAGGGTTGTGGAAGCCCCCCAACCAAAAGGTGCCTGGCCAATTATAGGACACCTCCCTCTCCTAAGTGGTCAGAGTCCAGTTTTTCGGACTCTTGCCACCTTAGCCGATCAATATGGCCCGGTATTTGCAATTCGACTAGGTTTACACCGGGCCATCGTCGTGAGCAACAAGGAAGCAATCAAAGATTGCTTCACCACTAACGATGCAGTTTTCATGACTCGTCCCGAGTCAGCCACCATGAAGTACATGGGGTACAATGGAGCTTTCTTCGGATTAGGCCCCTCAGGGCCATACTGGCACAAGATGCGTAAACTCACCACGCTCGAGCTTCTCTCAAACCGCCGCCTAGACTCGCTCCAGCGTGTCAGAGCCTTCGAGGTGGGTTCATGCATCAAAGAGTTGTACTTTGGTGCATGTGGGGGTGTTGCTCAAACAAAAATGAATATGAGCCAATGGTTCAGGCGAGTAACTATCAACATTACACTTCAAATGATCGCTGGTAAGCGATTTAGTACAACTGATGACAAACATAATGATAATGGCAATGACAATGACAATGACAATGACAATGACAATGACGACTCAGAGTCGCGGCAGTTTGGCAAAGCGGTTAAAGAATTTGTGTACTTGGCATCGGTTTTTGAATTGTCGGATGTAATTCCGAGGATGGAGTGGTTGGATTTGCAGGGGAGGGTGAGGGCGATGAAGCGGACAGCGAAGGAGATGGATTATTTCATGAGCAAGTGGTTGGAAGAACATATTCAGAAGAGGCAAAATGGGGATGTGAAAGAGGAAGAATCAGACTTCATGGATGTGATGCTATCATTGTTGGGAGAAGATGAGTTGGTTGAAGGACATAAGAGTGGGACTGTTATTAAAGCCACAACCCAGGTAATTATCTATATATTATTCAGTAATTTTAAAATAGGATTGGGCTTTCCTCTTATTTACAATCTTGACTGAAAGGTATTGTTCGAGTATGTGGATCTATCATAAATCTTATTTTAATGATTTAGATTTTTTATTTTGTACAGTCTTTTTTATATATCATTTATATAAAAATTAGATTAATTTAATAATTGTAATATATTTAACTTATCGTTTTTGTTACTAGAAAATGAATGATTTACATTTTAAAATATATTTATTATTTACTTTTTTTACACAAATATGATAAAATTGAATAAGTTATGATTATTGAATCGATCAAAATTTTTTTTTTTTGGGGTAACTAATAAACATAAAAAAATCTTACAAAATAAATAATTTAAATTATCAAAAATAGGACCATAATCTCTATCTACCCAAACAACACCCAAATCCAATAAGAGTGTACACAGCTCGGATTGATTTGATTTTAGAGTAAATCAGGAACAAAATCATTTCTTACCGGTCTAGAAAAATTAAAATCATAACCGAACCGTTAACCTGTGGAATCGGATCATAATCGAACTATACAAACCGGTTTGGTTAGATTCAGTTTATGGTTTCAGAAATTTTATACAACAATAAATATGATATGTATTTTATGTTAGTAAATAAATTAATAATAATTAGTTTAGTTAAATTGGTTAGAGTTTATCAATTTCACAATAATGACTAATGTTCAAATCATATAAGAAATATCTTACACATTTTAAAATTTTTTATATAAAAATATAAAAATAATAAACATATATGTCACGGTTTGGTCCAATTTGGAACCATAACCAAAGCCTCAGAATCATAAATCAGACCAATTTGAACGGTTCCACCATTTTCAAAACCAAAACCAGAATTGTAATTTAAAAACCAGACCAAACGGATGGTGTACACCAAATTGGATTGGTTTACCGGTTCTATCAATTTTGAAACACCCCTAAAATCCAACACTTTCATCACTTCCTTGAGAGCATCTCCAATGAAAATTTATTGGTTGGTTTAGAAGTATTACCTAGCTATGCCTTTAGCCAATAACAAATCTTCATGCCTTTTTATATTTTCAAGTACTCAACGCAAAATCGTGAGTTATACCCTCTTCATCAATTAAAAACACAAGTGGTGGCAATACCCTAAAACCAACCAATAACTTCTCATCTCCAATGGGTTGATAAGCAACCCATTAGTGTAAGAAAGTTACTTACTTTTCTGACTTAGGAATGTTTTGGGAAGTGTATGTTTTGACTTTTTTCTTTTGGTTTATTTTCATCTTTAGTGAATTTTTTTAAAAAAAAATTCAAAAGACTTAGGTTTTTAGATTCAACTCAACAAGACAAACCAAAGAATTATATAATTTTTGTAAAAAAAGACAAAAATAAGTCAAAATAAACAATCTTTTTTGATTTGTTTCCGTCTTTAGTAATTTTTTTTTGAAATTTATTTATAAAAAATATACTTTTTAGATTCATTTTGACAAGATGGATTTGAAAAATAAAAAAATTTGACATGATTTTAAAAAAAAATTAATAAAAATAAAAAAATTCAAAAAAATGATGATTTTTTTTTTGGGGGTTGCCAAAATGGGCCTTGGTTAACAAGCAATTTTGATTTTGTCTCTTAGAGCATCCTCATGGATACTTTAAAGAGATATTTACGTATATGTCCTAATAAGTAGATTTATTATTTAATAGGTCCTATGAAAAAAATTTATAATAAAAAAAGGTCACTAATTGTAAATTTTAGCGACAATTTATAAAAATTATGACAAAAAAGTCACTAATTGTCAATTTTTAGCGACATATATAAAAAATTGTCACAAAAAAATTATTTTTAACGACAATTTTACCAAGACTTATTTTCAATAAAATTTGATGAAAATTAAATCTAACTATTAAGACCTATTAGTAATTTACCCAACTTCCTTTGGGTTAAAGGATTGTTACTGTCAATGTGTGATAGTAACAACATTGGGAGAGTCTTGTCTCCAATGTTCTGTGCAGATTGGAAAGTATTATTAGGTTTATGAGATTTATTATGGGTTTTATTTTGATAATTCGAACTATAATATATAGAACTTGTCGAGTACTTATAAAAAATCATGTTAATTAGATATCGGTAGCCTCTTAATCGGAACATATTTTTGTTAATGATAAATATGATTTAAAGAATAAATTATTAAAAAAAATGTGTTCCGATCAAGGGGTTACCGATATCCAATCAACGTGATGTTTTACATACATGAAATACTTGAAGAACTCTATACATTGCACGATTCAAATTATCGAAAAGGGATCCACGATGGGTCTCACAGACCCAACAATACGCTGTAATCTATACAATAAACTGGAGAGAAGCCTCTCCAAAAAGATTTATCTATACGGACCATATAAGTTGAAAAAAATATTGTCAGATGCTAAATATTTTAATTGATTATTTAATTTTTTAATTATTTTAATTTGACTACAAAAGTTGTGTTTGAAAAGTTGATTAATTTTTTTTTTTATAATTGATTTGATAATTGTGAAAGAAAATAATAAAATGATTATATATTAGATAAAAAAATTTATCTTATTAATTATTTTAAATTATTTTATCTTTTAATAAAGGATACATTATAAATATATCCCTGAGATTTGATTAAAAAAAAAAATTTATCTTATTAATTATTTTAAATTATTTTATCTTTTAATAAAGGATACATTATAAATATATCCCTGAGATTTGATTAAAATACGAATCACCTCTTGTGGTTCTAGAAATTACATTTCACCTCCTAGTGTTTTTAATTTCATAACAAATCGTTTTTTTTATTAATAAATTATTAAGTTAATTAATAATTTTTAATGATATTATAAATATATTTTAATTAATAATTTAAGTAATTTTATTATTATATAAGAGAACAATTATAAATTTTATTTTTTAATTAATTCTGTTAAATAAAAAATTTAACAAAAAAATATTTATAATTTTGTAAATCATAAAAAATAATTTATATTTTAAATCAATCTCAAAAATTATATTTTTGAGAAGTTGGTAAAAAGTTGACTTTTGACTTTTTACCAAACTTTTTATTTTTTTTGGAAAGTGATTTGGGAAGTTGGTAAAAAGCTGACTTTTGGCCTTTTGATTTAATATTTGTTTATGGTGTCACATTACATTAAAATGACTACAATATCCTTACCCAACTAAGAAAATTTACTTTTTTACCTATAGTGTGTGTTTGAACAATTTTTTGAGAGCACAAAGGGTAGTTATGTAAATTCACCAGTTTGCGTTTTACACCACTTCCCAATTGGTTTGTTGCGTTTTGCTACCCATGGCCTTTTTTTCGGTGGTGATACATACCACTAATTTAAGAGCATCAATGCCAGCTCTAATGACCTGACAGTGTAAGGAGAAAAAAAAAAAAAAAGTCAAACTATCACATCAAGGTGGGACCCACAGCAATGTCACCTCATTAGTACGGTTTTAGAGTTGTTATTTTAGTGATCCCAAATATCACTTTGCTTGGTTTCGTTTTTCCAAAAACACTTTTCAGAAAATTTTACTTTATTATTTTTCGTGTTTTTTTTGTTTTTATTGAATTTTTTAAATATTTTAACCAATTTTTTTTTTTACTTTTTAGATATACCTAACATAAACATACTTAAAAAGTAAAAAATTTGTGAAAAAACCTTTTAAAAATACATGAAATACCAAAAGTACAAAAAAATACGAGAATTTAGTATATTTTTTATATTTTTATGTATTTATTAATTTTTTAAAATATTTTTTCACAAATTTTTTACTTTTTAGATACATCTAAGTAAGGTGCATCTAAAAAAATAAAAAAATATTTAAAATTTAAAAAATATTCATCAAAAATAAAAAAACACGAAAATAAAAAAATTTAATCTAAAAACCCCAAATAAACACACTGGTTCTTTTTTTTTTCTCAGGCTGTAAAACGTAGCTTTTTACCCCTTCTTCCAAATGGCTTAATAATTTACTCTTTAATAAACTATTTTAACCATCCCTCTCCCAAGGCCATTATTAATTGGAGAGGGTGAGATAACAAAAAAGCGAGGGAAAGAAAAGATTCAGAAAGAAAGGAGGAGGCGGAAGAGTTTGTGTGTGTGCAGAATTAACAGAAATCTGCAGAAGAGAAAAGAAAGGGAGGAGAGAGAGAGAGAGTAATAAATGGGTGGGAGGCCGTGCAATCTTTTTTATAATTTATTTTATCAATTTTATGTTTACGTAACATATTTTAACACAAATCTTAACATTCCTATTACAACACTCCACATACTAACATATAAAATTGAATATCATTTTTATCATTTTTTTTATCATATGATACACTAAAACACACACAAGATGTTCCAATAATTTTGTTAAGAAGAAAGACTTGTCTCCTATCTGGTTTTAAAATGAATTATATTATTAAATTTCCGTAGGTCTATTATAGAGTTTACATAGATGATTTGAATCATTCATTATATAGGACTCATTAAATATTTCATCTCTGTAAAAATTTCACATTGATTGAATATCTATTACTACTTGCACCATGCACACAAGAGATTTGCATTATTATGAAAATGTAAATATTTTTTTATTATGCCACTAATTTATAATTTTCCTAACAACAATGCTAGAGCTTCCAAATTTTTTATCAAATATCTAGGTATGAAACCTATATAAAATTCACATAGTGTAAATTCTACAATCATATAAAACATTAAAAATGTTTGGGAGCACTAAATATGGAGTTCTAGGAAGAACTCTAATGAACTGGCCTCCCATGATGTGATGGTTGTATCTACGTGTGTGTGTGTGTGTTTTTTTTTTTTTTTTTTTTTTCTTACATTTCCAACTCATTAAAATTGATTTTGTGTGTTTTTTTTTTAGAATTCTTAATTCACTCTCATAAAATATTAATAAAAAAAATTGATAACAATTTTGGGATGTGAAACATTTTTCTTTTCCTAATAAGAAACAATCATTTGTGTCGGTGTGGAGGGGCTACAACTGTGTTTGGGAAGTAAGTTTCAGGCTAAATTAGCCACTACAGGACAAAATAGGCTTAATTAGCAAAGTGAACACAAAAACTTGAGTTCTGCTTGGCAACAATCAATGCCCAGCTAAATTTACGAAACTACCCCACATGATTTGCAAGGGCATCGCCTCAGCACATGAAAAGTAAAAAAAAAAAAAAAAACTTTTCCCCAAAAAAACATTTTCCCAGGAAAAAACTTAAAATATAGTTGAAAAAAAAAATTAAAAACATTTTTTTGTTTTTTGTTAAAATATTTTATAAAAATAAATTCAAACTCTATTTATAAAAATATTTTTGAATATTTTAATTTTTTTGTTATGTATTTGGTTATGATTTGAGTGTAGAGTTGTGAAAGTAGTATGGATTTTCGAGTTATGTGTTTGGTTATGAGTTTTAAAAATAATTTATAAAAATAAATTCAAACTCTATTTATAAAAATATTTTTAAATATTTTAATTTTTTTGTTATGTAATTAGTTATGATTTGAGTGTAGAGTTGTGAAAGTAATATGAAGTTTCGAGTTATGTGTTTGGTTATGAGTTTTAAAAATAATTTATAAAAATAAATTCAAACTCTATTTATAAAAATATTTTTAAATATTTTTTAAATATTTTAATTTTTTTTTGTTATGTATTTGGTTATGATTTGAGTGTAGAGTTGTGAAAGTAGTATGGAGTTTCGAGTTATGTGTTTGGTTATGAGTTTTAAAAATAATTTATTAATTGAGTTTTATTTTATGTGTTTGGTTTCGATTTGAGTGTAGAGTTGTTTTTAAATTTAAAATATTAACATTTCAAATTATTTCAATTGTTTGAATATTTAAATTATTTAATTTTTTACGATTTAAATTTTTTGAATATTTATTTTAATTTTTTACTTATTAAATTTTTTAGATTATTTACATTATTTAAATATTTAAAATAAAATAAAAATAAATATTTAAAATTAAATTAAAATTAAATTATTTAAAATACACAGGACAATAAAATAAAACCTCATTTTTTTTATCATTTCACAGAAAATGAAAAATAAAATAAAAATAAAAATAAAAAACACATGAAAAAACCATTAAAAAAAAAAAAACTTAAAATACATAAATTATTTAAAAAAAATACGCCTCACTCAAAAATATTTAAAAAATTACAAAAACGTAAATTCCAAAAAAAAAAGAACGACAAAAATACGCCTCATTCAAAAATATTTAAAAAAAAAACATAAAAACATAAATTACCATTCGCGACGTAATTTAAAAATAAATAAAACTCATAAAAATTCATTTTTGAAAAATAAAAAAAGTTATTGTATACAAATAAAAATAAAAAAGAAAAATAACATAAATTAAAGAACAAGAACTAATTAATGTATAAAAAAAGAAAAATGACAAAAAAAATAAATTAAAAAAAATAAAATATAAAAAGGCCAAATCCAAACCCAACAGAGAAAAAAAAAAAAAAAAAATCAAAACAATTGTGGTCCACGCCAACTGACGTGGAGTAGTAGAACCAATTCCTTCACATGTATTAATTATGTGAAGGGCAGTTTGGTAATTTACTATAAAGACACATCATCAAAAAGTTAAAAAGTTAAAAAAATTCTTTTCAAATTATACTTTTTAACCCAGATTAAAATAATTTAAAAAATTAAAAAGTCAAAAACTCAACCGCTTTCCAAACGGAGCCCTAGTCATCTTCTGTTTAATACCACCTGTATCCAAACTGTGCATCACGCTACAGGACGTGTCCTCTCATTACTTATCGAGGCCCAACAACTTTCTTTTTTGGATAAAATAATTAAAAAATCAAAAATTTTAATAATATATAATTTCCAATATAACTGAAAAAATCATTTTAAAATATATTTAATGTGTTTGTTTTTAATTTTTTGTCCAGTTTTTTAAAAATTAAGTTTTTTTTTTGACTTTTTTAGCTGTACCTTATTTAGATGTATTTAAATAGTAAAATATTTGTCAAAAAATATTTTAAAAAATTAATAAATATACAAAAATATAAAAAAAAAATGTACTGAATTTTTATATTTTTTATATTTTGGTATTTAGTGAATTTTTTAAAGATTTTTTTTATAAATATTATACTTTTTAAGTGTATTTATGTTAGGTGTGTCTAAAAATTTTTAAAATTGTTTAAAATATTAAATTTTTTTTATAAAAATAAAAAAATGCAGAAAATAAAAAGTAAATTTTTTGAAAAGTGAATTATGTAAATTGAAACTAAACAGAGTGATTACTATTTTTTAACTTATTAAAAAAAATTAAAAGATGATTAAAAAAATTAATTTTCAAATGAGACTTATATAAAAAAAAAATGGTTCAAGGTAATAATGTGACAATATTATTCTTCTAAATAGAAAACAACTTTATGAATATTTTGTTTTAAAATAAATAAAACATGTTAAAGGGTTCATTTGAGAATGACTTTTTTAGTTTTATTTTTTGACCTTTTTACTAATTTATCCGGGTTAAATTAGCTCTGTTTGATAATTTTTTTAACTTTTTTACTTTTTTGTGAGTAAAAGGTAAAATGATTATGATTTAGAGTTGATATTTTGTCTTATTAATTTATTTAGTTTATTTTATCTTTTTGTATTTTGTTGTGTCCTAACTTACTTCTAACCATGTTGTCAAATGGTAGCTAAATCACATCAATATGTACAAATTTTATGTTTATATACCATTACTCTAAGGGTATGTTTGATTAATAGAATTAGAATATGAGATTGAGATTATTAATCTGCGGATTCAATAATTCTGTGTTTGTATTGAAATTTTATTTCAGGATTATTAATCCAATGGATAATTAATCCAACAAATTTGTAAGATTATTAAAAATGGAGCAGATGTGAGATTATATATCCTGAGTTGGGAAATAAAATAAAAAAACTCTTTTACCTTCATATGTTTTCTTATCCAATGCATATCAAACAATCAACAAGAAAATAATTTATTCTATTAATCTAATTGGATAGTGGATATCACATTAATTTAATGGAATTATTAATACTTTCACTATTAGTCTTATGAATCAAATATGATCTAAAATCTCTCTACATATCAAAACCTAAACTAATCCCACCTTATCTCCCTCTCTCTCTCTCTCCAAACTCTTTTTCTTTCTCTCTTTTACAATGAAAAAAACCTTTAACAACTAAGAGATGAGAAAATAGGCGATTTATTTTTAAAAATATAGCTCATATCTGTTTTTTGAACATTAAAATAATAAAATCATGTTGGATTAATTTAATTTTTTAAATAAATAACGTACACCATAGAATAAAAAATAAACAGAATCCCATGGGCATGATTGGACTGTTTGATAATCCAATTCCTTAATTTTTTGTTTTTGTTTTTAATTTTGTGTTTCTTCAAATTTAGATGATGGTTTTTATTTTCCATTAAAGATATTTGCACATAATCTATGTAAAAAAACATACCAAGAAAGGTAATGTGGGGTTGAGATTCAACTATCGTATAGTAAAACTCAAATCTTAAATGAATCAATCTAGATCATAAATTAAATATTTTAGGTATTTTTTTATACGTGAATTTCGTTCTCACACTCAAAACAGTTGTTCTACTTGCAAAAAAATCAATCATACAATTAGACACAACCGTCTCACATGGGTGAGAGACCTACCTCATGTAAGAGGAGATGTTCGATTATATAATTGATTTATGTATTTCTTGACTTTTTTTTCACTTAATTTTTTTTTTATATTCTGCAGTTGTTCATCCTAGCAAGCTTTGAAACTCCCAGTATCACGATGACATGGGCACTCTCCTTACTACTAAACCACAACCAAGCCCTAAAGCTTGTCCAAGAAGAACTTGACACTCATGTTGGAAGACAAAGATGGGTAGAAGAATCAGACATCAATAACTTGCCATATTTACGAGCCATTGTTAGGGAAACCTTACGACTCTACCCTCCCGGTCCCTTATCAGTACCACGTGAGGCCTTGTCAGATTGTCATGTGGCTGGCTACCATGTCCCTAAAGGCACATGTCTTATAGTGAACTTATGGAAGCTGCATAGAGACCCAAAGATTTGGGCTAACCCTAATGAGTTCCAACCGAGGAGGTTTCTCTCCGAGAATGTGAAAATGGATGTAAAAGGACAGTGTTTCGAGTACTTGCCTTATAGCGCAGGCAGAAGAATGTGTCCAGGAGTTACTTTAAGTTTGCAGATGATGCATTTGGTTCTTGGCCGCATGCTTCAGGGTTTTGATTTGGCTACGCCAATGCACGCAAGAGTGGACATGGCTGAAGGGTTAGGGTTGGCCTTACCTAAGGCAACCCCATTGGAAGTCATGCTCATTCCACGCCTACCTCGCAAGCTCTACCAAGAGTGAACAAAGAACAAGAAAATTAAACATTATGGCCTCCTCCACAATTACGAATAAAAATTAAGTGTAACAATGATATGACACTTTCATCGATATGTGATATTGAACAAACTCATTATAATAATTTTGTGTTTTGCATGCCTTTGGTAATTTTGCACATATATGCTTTTTTTGTACAAAATTGGTATCTTTAAGAAGATATGCCCAAATGGCTTATTTTCACATATGTTGTAGGCTTCATATGTGTGCAATCATATGGAAATTTCTAGGAATGTCTTCCCCAAGTAGAAACCCAATGCCTACTTTATAAATGGAAGAAACCAGTCAAGCACATAGCTTGCTTATATGCAATTAGGACTCACATTTTATATGCATGATTGCATCAGTTAAATTTTTTTGGCCCATGTGCATAAAAATGTTGCATACTAGCTGAAGCACCTCTTTCATTTTCTTCTTCCTTTTCATATTCTCTTTCTTCTTCTGTGCGGACATATCCAAGTTACTATTTTTGGATTATTATTCATAACCCTAAAAAATGTACTTTTCAATCCCAAACCTTATCCAATCATGGCTAAATCAACTATAAACCTTTTCCTACCAATTGGCCTTCAATTTAACCATTAAAATGCTAAATTATTCACTGCTTTGGCCAAGGGGTCTTGTCCTGCCTAAAAGTTACAAGGATTTTCCCCCCTTTTGGGTGTGTGTGTTCATGCACATGCACTTGTTGCATTTGCCCTTCAACAATAAACTTTTTACTCAGTTATTATGACCAGGAAACAACACCACCATTCTCATATCACAAGGCCTTGAACGTAGCAGTTGCAAGTTTATAACTTTGTTGTGTTTCATTTGGTGTCTATTTTTGTTATAAACCATTGGAGAATTTTTTTTCTGGGTAATTTTTTTCTATAAAACTTATTTTTGATTACTACATGTGCTTATTTTGGTCGCAGAAATTTCTTTCAAATGCTATTGTATAGATATACGTTGTGATATAGATCAAATGGAAAGGAGGTGGAGCAGAGGAAGAGACGATGGCTGGATTCCGGTAGTGAGCCAATGGAAAGGAGGTGGAGCACAAAGTAAGGAAGCACAACACGGTCTCATCACTGTCTTTGTGGACAACATCCCGTCAACTATGGACGCCAAAGCTCTGTACAAACTCTTCATCAAATTCGGGATTGTGAAGGATACTTACATTCCTTTCAAAAGAAGAAAAGTGACCAATTCAAGATTCGGGTTTGTGCGGTATAACTGTAGCATAGCAGCATCTGTCGCAATCCAAAAAGGAAATGGGCTCTTGGTGGATGACTCTATGCTAGAGGTCAAACTGGCTGCTTATGACAGAAATAGCAGAAGTGAACAGAGTAAGAAAAAGCCCCAGCCTCCCAGAAGATTCTCGGATACGATCAATTTCAAGGGTAAAGATGCACTTGTAGGGCACAGATCTTTTGCTGAAGTCCTAAAGGGTGACACCTCTGCAGCGGAAGGTAACACAAACACAAACATAACCATAAAAGCCAAAGAAGAGGGCAATGGTTAGCTGTACGAAAGTGCTATTGTTAGGTTCAACAACGAACATTCCACTCACAACATCCTAAAAGTCCTGGAGGAGAAAGGGATGGAGCAGATAGAAGTCAGAAAAGGAGGAGGTAGAGATGTAATTATCTCCTTTAACTCTACTAGTGCTCTGCAATCAAACATTGGCAGGATCAAAGAGTGGTTCAAGGACGTGAGCCAATCTGTGATGGAATGGAGGCCAGATTATCATCTGCAACAAGAGCGGTGCGTGTGGTTGCGATGCTATGGTATTCCCCTGCATCTTTGGAGTAGGGATACTCTTAACAGCATTGGCAATATCTGGGGCACTATTCTCAGCATAGACGGTGACGTTTGTCACCCAGAATCCTTCTCTTATGCTACGATTAGAGTGGCTACCGTATGCATGGAGCTCATCAATAAAACTATTACTCTAGAGTGTAAGGGCCACCCTCATCCCATCCTTGTTTGTGAAGACCATCTAGCTGATTCTAGTAGATTGAAGCCCTTCGGCATGAACGACTCCAGCCCCACTGAAACCTGCTTCAGTGATGAGGGTAGGATCCTTCCAGCAGCAGCGGCTTGGGTGAAGGTTGATGGTGATGAGGTGGCAGAGAGGAGAGCCGTGATTGGTGCTGACCTGGCTTGCACAAATGAGGTTGTGCAGAGGAAGGTGCTTCCTGCCAGTCACACAGCTGAAGAAGTGGGTACTGTTGTCGAGGAGATCCCCTGTAAAGATGGTTCCAGCAGAGACAAAGCAGCATGCGTAGAGGGGCTTTCGATGGAGGGGTCAGTGCTAAATTCAAAAAGTAATGAGGGTAAGATCAGGTGTGCTCAGCAGGCCTTCTCTTCTGATCATATTAGCAGGTATGACTTTAATAATGGTATTGGACCTGATATCAATTTGGACGAAAATTTGGCTACACCCAGCTACAATCTGATATACGACTAGTCTGCTCGAGCAGAGAATAGGACGCTCAAGCGTCAAGCACAAAAAATGAACCCGCTCGAGCGTCAAGACACAACTGCAAAACACACCCGCTTGAGCGCAAAAGAAAACCCGCTCGAGCGTAGATTACACTCTTCCAGTACTTTCGCATACAAAGAACACCCGCTCGAGCGCAAGGGTACCCGCTCGAGCGCGACCTGCTTCAGCGTAAGGAAATTCGCTCGAGCGTGAAAAACACATCTGAAGTACTTTTGCAGACAGACAAACTACTGAAGGTGTGCAAACTCCGCTCGAGCGGACCACCAAAAATCTGAGCAACAAGAAATGGGACTAAAGCTCAACCAACCTGTTCGAAATACGCCCAAGACATTTCTAAACTCTAATCCAAAGCATTAAAGGACAGAAATGAAATACAGACAACCACAACTATCAACGAAACCGAGTTCGTAATACAGTAAATAAGGAAGGAAAAACCGGGATCGCTATAGTAACTTATTAATTTAATAAAAAAGAAAGAATAACAAACACAATAAGAAAATAATATTTTAATAAGATTAAATTAGAATAGGGAGTTTGAAACAGTATGCACTAACTCCAACCATACTCTCTACTTTTCACTAGCTTAAGTGCAAAAAAAGTACATTTTTTATTTTACCTAATTACTTTAGCTATTGTGTTCTCTAACCACACTCTTTAGTTTAGCTAATCATTCAAACTAACTTAATTAATTTTTAAAACAAAAAATACTAATTGCTGATATTTTACTAATGTAAATTTGCAATAATAATAATTTTGCCCATACAAGCATACAAAACCTGTAAAATGAGGAGAAAAAAAAATACAAAATATAAAATAAGTTATTTTGTAATTCATCAAACAGAATTGAAAGAATATATAAAATTGTTACATACATATATACATATATAACGTATATAAAATCCCAAATCCAAGACATAAATATACAAAAATCCAAGACATATACATATATATTTGTTTGGAGAGCTTATGGGGCTCTTTAATTGTAGCTAGTAAAAAGATAAGATGATAAAGTAGTTAGCCCAATAGTCAACTCGTTGGAGCCCAAAATTAAAGTTATATTGGCTGAAATGCCTAACAAGCCTTTTTTAGCTATCTCCTTGGAGATGCTATGACTAGCTAAAATAGTAAAATAGCTTTAATTTGACTAAAAATTTGAAGAGATTGGTATGGTTGCTTTAAAAATGATTAAGAGTTAATTTTTTAACTTTTTTGACTATTTTATGTAAGAGGTGATATGATCCAAATTAAATTAAAAACCTATGTTAACTTTTTTTTTTAAGTGTGTTGTCAAAACACCTAGACCATCAAACTATTTCATTGATATTTAAATATGCTAAAAAAAGGCTTTTATTAAATTGCATTGCTACACCCAATATAATCAACTTTCATGGGGGATTTTAGCAACGCCAACTCTGTATTTTACTACACCGAGAGAGCACTCCACTTCTTAAAAGGAATATATAATTTTGATATGCATTTTCCATCATGCGTATCACATGAAAAATAATCATCTCAGAATATCCAAGATCAGGTGCATACTCGATACCATTAACAACCCATGGTACAATAAAATAAAACAATTTGGGCTCGTTTGATTTAACTCTCAAAACAGAATTTTTTTTAAAAAAAAAATTCAAAATATTATATTTTTTAAATGTAACTAGATTAGGTGTATCTAAAAAAAAATTACGTAAAATATTAAAAAAAAATTCACTAAAAAGAAAAATATAGGGAAAAATAAAAAAAATTCAATCTTCAAAATAACAGTATAAACCAAACAAAGTATATATATATATATATAAATTTTATGACACATTAGAATTATTAAAAAATGAAATGGCTTTTAGGCATGGTGTTGTGTTCGCCCGTTGCTTTGTGAGATCGGTGTTTTAAGATACTCAAATTAAAAATAGGGGTTGTAACCTAACCTTTTGGCCATTAACTTTCTTCTAAAGTGGCGTTATTGATTCATAAATTTAACTAGCGATTTGAAAAGATAAAGAAAAAATATATATGTAAAAGGAGTGTGATATTTAATTATATTTCATTCACAATTTATTTACATTTTTTTTTTTTAAATTTCTATTCAAATTCATGAATCAAATACAATTTAAGGAGAGATTTTGAATTCTACTATTAGAAGTGGAATGGGAGCAAGACTTGAGTGTTTACAAGGCGTAAATGAGAGAGTTCATCTTCTCTTTCTCTCTGTGAAAACCTCCTCCCCGGGCCTCATTTTGGGCCGGCCGGCCGCCGCCTTCGGCTATGGTGGTTGGCTGGCCCAGTTCTTTCTTGTGTTTGTTTGTTAATTTCCTTTAATAAACTTGATTTCCCCCATTATTTTTCCGCCTTGGTATGCTTTGTGGGCTGCTGCAGAGTCGTGGTGTGTTGTTATCATCAAGGAATGCCTGGATTAAGGGTCATTATAGAGGAGGAGGTTGGTTTGGACTGGCTTGAGGACGTCCAAATGTGGTTAGGATCTTCATTCGTGCGCTCTTTCGCGAGTCGGAGCTTGAGGGGTGAACTATGGTTCAGAATTATGTAGTAGTATCGATGCTTTGTTTGGGGTATCATAGGTGTCGTTCTGCTTCTACCATAGTTCTGTCTGGTGTTCATTCGAGCGCTCCTCTTCGAGTGGGAGTTTGAGGGGTGATCTTCGTCCAGATGTTTGGAGGTGTCTCAGCGGTTGATCGGTGTTTGGGTCGTCATCTTACGAGTTTTGTAACGGTTGTGTGAAGGGAGGAGTCGGCACAGAGGTGGACATTTCGGAGTAGTTGGCCAGCAAGGGGTTGGACAAGGAGGCGTGGGTGAGTTTTTCAGGTTTTTGTATGGACACAATCCTTGGCTCGAGCGAGAATTCCTTGGCTCGAGCGAGAATTCCTTGACTCGAGCGAGCAACGACGGACATGCAATTTTGAATGCAATTTTGCATTTTGCTTTGGCCGCGAGCTGACCGAGCAGCTCGACCCCCGTAATAATCAGCGAAGTGGCAATCTTGAAAGCATTAACAACACAAACTTCTCTGCATGGTTCGATTCGGGTTTGGATTCGCATCTAATAAACTCATAGCCTCACTGAAATAAAAGTGCGAAAATAAATACATTTGAAAAGAGTTTTGTCAAACGGGGTTGCCAAGAATAAAAACCTAACAGAAAAGATAAAGAAAAAATATATATGTAAAAGGAGTGTGATATTTAATTATATTTCATTCACAATTTATTTACATTTTTTTTTTAAAATTTCTATCCAAATTCATGAATCAAATACAATTTAAGGAGAGATTTTGAATTCTACTATTAGAAGTGGAATGGGAGCAAGACTTGAGTGTTTGCAAGGCATAAATGAGAGAGTTCATCTCCTCTTGAGTGCTAGTCTAACAATTAGGTTTCCGATCAACAAAAAATTTACTCACATTAAACATTACTGAAGATAAGTTTAAAGGTATTCCTTTGTATTGAAAGCTACTTAAATTTCAAATTTTTTTTTTTTTAAAAAAAAAAGTAGATGAAATTTTATATCTTAGTTGTTTTGAATTATAGTTGTACTAGCACCAAATTATTTTACAGAAACAATCACATATGACAAAAAATAGGACCTCATGTGATGGGCCCCATATATGGTGTCTCACATATGTTATTAATTTCGTTTGAATTGTGACTTTAAAGATTCAAGATTTCAAAAGTCAAAAACTTTATTTTAGTTTATTTTATTTTCTTTCCTTAAAAAACTACTTTTGGATTTTCTTTCAAAAAAAAAAATTTGATTGTGAACTTGTTGAAAGAAGTGCTTATGCTAATTGCATATATGTTTATTTGGTTTGTAATGGTTATCATATGTGTTTACCTGCATTCCCATCAAAAGATCAGCACAAGGTAGAGCCTGAGCTTGATTGTTTTTGGATTTTTTTTTGTATTTTTCGTGCTTCTTCAACAATTGCTCGCTCTTCTGGTGACCCTGTATCGGGGTCAAATTCCCAAATTTGTCTACCAACATAATTGTTGGTGATAAACAAGTACGGTCCATGACCTTGTGCAATATTGAACTTCCACATTATTATTTTTTTCCTTGAGGACTCTTTTCGTGTTTCATGCCTCTGCATTTATATGACACAAATTAGAAGGTACTAGTAAAATTTGATTTTACATACTTTTCCAATTATATTATTCTTAGAGCTTTTTTAAATTGTTCACAAATAATCGGATGCAATGTTTGATAAGCTTTGCTTAAGGACTTCATAATTTTGTTGGCTCATCCCTTGTCTTTGCTCTATTCACATTTCAGTGATAACCAAATTTACTTATCATGTAACGATTCCACATGGTTAATATAGACCTTGGCTATGTGCATATAAGTCTCTTGAACAGCCTCCCTTTGTAAGCTGATTTTCTAGGGTAAATTCTACTAAAGGGTTATTTGGTATAAGAGCCAACCACCACGTCGAGTATAGGATCGAATGGGTGCAACTTTTTGGTTCGAGTCACAAAGGGGTGGCCTATAGGCTGGATTAAGGCACCTAAAAAAAGTGTTGAATACTGATAGCTGAGTGAAGCTACCAAAAGGAAAACGGCTACCACCAGATCAAGAGCTGCCAAAAGGGAAAGGTTTACCACCGAGTTAGTGCCGATAGAGTGGGCCGCCGTGGACGTTGGCTTTGTTACATGGTTGTATGTTATGATTTCACATCGGTTAACATAAGTCTTAGCCATGTGCATATAAGTCTCTTAGGGACTATAATCTCCTGCAACATCACATCAAGCTGGTGAGTTAAGAGAACAATGGTGAACAGAGGAAGAGATGGTGGCTGGATTCCGGTAGTGAGGCAATGGAAAGGAGGTGGAGCACAAAATAAGGAAGCACAACATGGTCTTATCACTGTCTTTGTGGACAACATCCCGTCACCTATGGACGCCAAAGCTCTGTACAAACTCTTCATCAAATTCGGGATTGTGAAGGATACATACATTCCTTTCAAAAGAAGGAAAGTGACCAATTCAAGATTTGGGTTTGTGCGGTATAACTGTAGCATAGCAGCATCTGTCGCAATCCAAAAAGGAAATGGGCTCTTGGTGGATGACTCTATGCTAGAGGTCAAACTGGCTGCTTATGACAGAAATAGCAGAAGTGAACAGAGTAAGAACAAGCTTCAGCCTCCCAGAAGATTCTCGGATACGATCAATTTCAAGGGTAAAGACGCACTTGTAGGGCACAGATCTTTTGCTGAAGTCCTAAAGGGTGTCACCTCTGCAGCGGAAGGTAACACAAACACAAACATAACCATAAAAGCCAAAGAAGAGGGCAATGGTTGGCTGTACGAAAGTGCTATTGTTAGATTCAACAACGAACATTCCACTCACAACATCCTAAAAGTCCTGGAGGAGAAAGGGATGGAGCAGATAGAAGTCAGAAAAGGAGGAGGTAGAGATGTAATTATCTCCTTTAAATCTACAAGTGATCTGCAATCAAACATTGGCAAGATCAAAGAGTGGTTCAAGGACGGGAGCCAATCTGTGATGGAATGGAGGCCAGATTATCATCTGCAACAAGAGCGGTGTGTGTGGTTGAGATGCTATGGTATTCCCTTGCATCTTTGGAGTAGGGCTACTCTTAACAGCATTGGCAATATCTGGGGCACTATTCTCAGCATAGACGGTGACGTTTGTCACCTAAAATCCTTCTCTTATGCTACGATTAGAGTGGCTACCGTATGCATGGAGCTCATCAATAAAACTATTACTCTAGAGTGTAAGGGCTATCCTCATCCCATCCTTGTTTGTGAAGACCATCTAGCCGATTCTAGTAGATTGAAGCCCTTCGGCATGAATGACTCCAGCCCCACTGAAACCTGCTTCAGTGATGAGGGTAGGATCCTTCCAGCAGCAGCGACTTGGGTGAAGATTGATGGTGATGAGGTGGCAGAAAGGAGAGCCTTGATTGGTGCTGACCTGGCTTGCACAAATGAGGTTGTGCAGAGGAAGGAGCTTCCTGACAGTCACATAGCTGAAGAAGTGGGTACTGTTGTCGAGGAGACCCCCTGTAAAGATGGTTCCAGCAGAGACAAAGCAGCATGCGTTGAGGCATTTTCGATGGATGGGTCAGAGCTAAATTCAAAATGTAATGATGGCAAGTTCAGGTGTGCTCAGCAAGCTTTCTCTTCTGATCATATTAGCAGGTATGATTTGAATAATGGTATTGGACCTGATATCAATTTGGACGAAAATTTGGCTAATGAACCTCTTACTAGTCTTGGGCCTAGCATTGGGCCTGGCATTAATTTGGAAGTTTTCTTGGCCCACTCTCCTAGTGGCCCTGAAATTCTACCCCAGCCCATTGACTCTGATAATTTCAACCCTCTAAGTAACGGCATATTAGCCCATGTGCATTCTGTTAGTCCCCTTTCCAAGTCAAGACCTACTGGGTTATTACCCTTGAACCTCATTCATTCGGCGAAAGCTAAAACCCCTATCCTTAATACAAAGTCTCTGCAGTCTGTAAAGAAAAAAGGGAAAAAGAAAACTCATGTAGAGGGCTTTACCAGCTTTGCTAGATTCCATGGCTATAGAACTGCAGCAGCTCACAAGCACTCCTCTAAGTCTGTTATTTTCAGTCCAGCAGCTTCTGCTTTTGCTCAATCTGATCTATCTGATGGTAGCTCATCTTCAAACAATGATCTATTTGAGGAGGCCAAAGCCACTATACACTTGGGGAAATGCTTAGGCATCAACTACAATGGGAAAGAAGACACTATGTTGAACAAGATAATTGATTTAGAGCTTAAAGATAAGGTCAGAATCTCTGATAAGGGGCAGGATCAGAAATAAGCTTCTGCTCATGGGAACCTTGAGATTGCCATTTTGTTTATCTATGAAGCTATTATCTTGGAACATTAGGGGTTTGGGTAAATCTGAGAAGAAGGGAAGAATTAAAAGACTGCTAAAGGACAAGCATGTTGATATTGTTTTTTTCCAAGAAACCAAGCAAGCTGTGGACTCTGAAAATGTTGCTAGAAAACTTTGGGGGTGCAGAAATATGGAATTCATGTCTGTGGATCCTGTAGGCTCTACTGGTGGACTTCTATGCATATGGGACCCTTCAGTGTTCCAATTATCTGGCTGCTGCTGCAATAGGAGGTATATATTACTTTCTGGCTCTTTGTATAATTCCTTTGATTGTGTTTTGATAAACATATATGCACCAAATAACCCCTCTGCTAGATCATCTTTTTGGGCGGGTATAGTCAAGCTTAAGGATCACTTTCCTGCACCTTGGTGCATGGGTGGAGACTTCAATGAAATTAGACATGTAGGTGAGAGGGTTGGCTGCTCCAGGAGAGACATGGGGATGAAACATTTTAATGAGTTTATTGAGAAATGTGAGCTCCAAGACTTACCTCTTCATGGTAGGAAATACACTCGGTGCAATGCCCAGGAAGCTGAGAAATGGAGCCGCATAGACAGAGTACTCCTCAGCCCAGAATGGTTGATTAGCTTCAGAATGAAGTTATGGGGCCTGCCTCGACTAGTTTCTGATCACTGTCCTCTACTGTTGATGGAAGACGAAAGAGACTGGGGTCCCAAGCCTTTCAAGTTTCTCAATGCCTGGACTCTCCATCCAAGTTTCTCTAAGTTCTTTGTTAACATTTGGAGCAGCACCTCTATCACAGGGTGGGCCGGATTCAGAATTGTTCAAAAATTAAAGCAGCTAAAGACAGAGTTAAAAAAATGGAATGTTGAAGTGTTTGGACATGTCACATCCAAACTCAAGGCTTTAGAGGCGGAATTGCATACATTAGACATCTTAGCAGAGGATGGACTCTTGGATGATTCTGGGAGATCAAGAAGAAGAGTGGTCAGAGGTGAAATGTGGCATTTGCTCAGAATGGTGGAGTGGATTTGGCACCAAAAATCCAGATTGAACTGGACTCTAAATGGGGATAAGAATACTAGATTCTTCCATGTTTTTGCTAATACCAGACAGAGTAGAAACATGATCAGCTCTATAGTAGTTAACGACGTGTCTTATGAGGATCCTAGCAGGGTTCAATTAAAGGTCTACCAACACTTCAAGAAGTTGTTTGCTGAGGATTGGGTCAAAAGACCCGTCTTGGGAGGGACATTCAACACCATTGAGGCAGACTATGTTTCTCATCATCTTGTTGTAGAATTCAGTGAAGCTGAGGTGTTGGCTGCAATTAAGGATTGTAATAATAACAAAGCCCCAAGCCCCGATGGTTTCAATCTGTTGTGTTATCAGAAATTTTGGAAGACTATGAAGCCTGAGATCATGCAATTCTTTGCAGACTTCCACACAAATAGCAAACTGACTTGTGGGATTAATAGTACTTTCATTAGTTTAATTCCTAAGTTGGAAAATCCCTCCGGCCTATCTGATTACAGACCCATTAGTCTTGTAAGCTCCCTGTACAAAATTTTGGCAAAAGTGTTAACACATAGACTGAAGCCAGCTCTATCCTCAATTATTGGTGAAACTCAAACTGCTTTCATAGGTGGAAGAAACATCCTTGATAGGGTGTTCATTGCCAATGAAGTGCAGAAAGTGGACTATTTGCGACCAAAAAAAATAGGTGATTGGTGAAAGTGTTTTTTCTTGTAGTGGTGGAAGAAACATCCTTGATGGGGTGTTCATTGCCAATGAAGTGGTAGATGGTTGGAAGAAGACCAACAACAATGGTTTGATCTTAAAGCTAGACTTTGAAAAAGCTTTTGATTCGGTTAACTGGGAATTCTTGTTCTCTCTGCTGTCTAGTTTTGGGTTTGGTAACAAATGGATCTCTTGGATGAAAACTTGTGTGTCTATAGTAAGGATTTCCATTCTTGTGAATGGTGCTCTAACTAAGGAATTCTCACCACAAAGAGGGCTAAGGCAGGGCGATCCGTTATCACCTTTCTTATTCAATATTGTGGCTGAGGGGTTAAACATTCTTTTGGTCTGAGCAATTAATCTTGGCATTCTTAGAGGTGTTCATGTCGGATCCAAAGATGTCCTCTTGTCTCACCTACAATTTGCAGATGACTCAATTCTTTTTTCTGAGGCAGATTGGGATCAAATGGTACTTATCAAAAGAATCCTTAGGTGCTTTGAAATTCTATCTGGGCTCAGAATTAATTACCACAAAAGCGTGGTGTGTGGTGTCGGTGTGTCTGATACTTTATTGCTCTCCTTTGCACATCTTCTTAACTGTAAAGTCCATTGCCTTCCCTTGAAATTTCTGGGACTGCCTCTAGGTGCCAATCCTGGTAAAAAATCTACCTGGAAGCCCGTGATTGACAAGATCAGATCTAAACTCTCAGGGTGGAAGAGGAAACTGCTATCTTTTGCAGGTAGATTAACCCTAATCAAGTCTACTCTATCTAGTTTACCAGTTAACTTTCTTTCTCTGTTTAAGATGCCAGAAGGTGTGGCAAGAGAATTCGAAAAGATTGAGGCAGCTTTTTTATGGGACAGTAATGATCTTAAAAGGAAAGTGCATTTAGTGAAATGGGGGGAGGTAACCAAAAGCTTGGACCAAGGGGGCCTGGGTATCAGAAGAATAAGAGATATGAATGCTTGTCTATTGCTCAAATGGTGGTGGAAATTTGGAACTCAAGTAAACTTTCTTTGGAGGAAAGCTATATGTAGCAAATACAATATTGATGAGGCTAGTTGGCATCCACCTTTAAAGTCCTCCTACAAACATTCTAGAGTTTGGAAGGACATATTATCTATTGGGATTCATAGCACAAATATTTACAATCTCTATATAGATAACTGCCAAATCCTAGTGGGGGATGGGAGTAGGATTAAATTTTGGCATGACAGATGGTGTGGCAGCTCTAGTCTCAAGTCTACTTTTCTCCTTCTCTTTAATCTCTCAACAGATAAAGAAGGCTCTCTACAACAATTCATGGCAAGAAAATCTAGCCCAAACAATTGGAATTTTCCCACTAGAAGAGTGCTTTTCAGTTGGGAATTGGAACAAGAAGCTAACTTACTTGGTCTACTATCTTCAGCTCCATCTCTGTCAATCGGCAGAGCTGATCATCTTAGCTGGGCTTCTGCACCTGCAAGTCCTGGTGTATTTTCCGTGTCCTTTCTCTACTCTGCCTCTAACTCTAGCCAAGGGCCTCATTTTAACATTTGCAAGCATATTTGGAATGGGGCAGTCCCCCCTAAGGTTTCATTCTTTACTTGGCTGGCCTGGAAAAACAAAATCAAGACGGCAGTGTTTATGCACAGAATTGGCATCTTAGATGCTTCTGCTTCTCTCATCTGCCCATTTTGTCGTTCTGAACCTGAATCTGCTGTCCATATCTTGCTACATTGCCCATTTTCTTGGTTGATTTGGTCATCTATAATTAATGAGTGGGGATTCTCTTGGTGCATTCAAGGATCAGTGGATGATCTCCTCCAATGGTGGATGACTGTCAAGCTCAAAAAATTTGATAGGTTAATTTGGAGAGCCATCCCCCTTATTGTTCTCTGGTCGCTCTGGAAACTTAGGAATGAATGTGTTTTTGCAGAGGCTCAACCTAGTCTCTCTGGCTTTAGTGAAAATATCAAGCATAGAGCAATACTTTGGCTGAAAGCATCAATTAAAGATCTTCCTTATTCCGTTGATGATTTAATCTTCAATTGGCGTCAAATCAGAGGATGTTCTTAACTGTTCTGAGCTGCTTTGTGTTGAAAGCTGGGTCTTGTATGGATGTCCTGTGGAGTTTGTTAGCTTGTAGGCAGTCTATAGTCTTCTGGAGCAGTTTAAGCCTGCAGCTGCTAATCTGATTTGCTCTGCTGGGCAGAACAAGGCTGCTGAGAAAGTTGATCCGAGCATCTGCTGGTATGCCCCCTGCTGTGTGTGAGTGTTGGGTACTGGTTTTGGTCTTAAATTTGGACTGCTAGCTTGCTAATTGTGGAAGGCTTCTGATATGTTAAGGTGACTGATTTTCTGAGTTTTTAGAATGTCTAAAGGGCTGCAGTATTGTTCATGGGAATTCAAGGAGTGTAGTTCAAAGGCAATGCAGGTTCAAGGCTGATCTGTGCTGGTTTCTTCTCTGGTTGAAGGCATTGCAGGTTCAAGGCTAATGGATTGTGATGGGTGCTACTGTCAAATGGATGCTGTGATGCTTGGGCGCTACTGTCAAATGGATATTTTAGTTTTGTGCTGCTGTGTGCATGTCTTAGTTCCTTGGTCTTCAGCCAGAGCATTTCTGTCTGGGGCTGTAGTGGACTGCCACTGTTTTGCTGCTGTTAATCACGTCTGGTGGGGTCTGCTATGTATGCTAAGTCCTGGAGTAGTGTATGTTATATCTTCATATGGGGTCAGAGTGTCTATTTGGTCTTCACAAGGCTATTGCTGATCTAGTTGGTTTTATCACAAGGCTGCTGTTGATCTCTTTGGTTTTCTTATAGCAACACACTCAGCTAGTTAGTCCCTATTAGAGTTGCCTGATTGCCTGTCGTATGTTGCTGCTAATGGTTGGGTTGTTCAGGGGGCTGTTCTACCTTGGTTATGTGTTTTTTCTTTTCGTTGGTCCCTCACCAACTATGGGGTGCTAGCAAATGATAGGATGATCTCTTTGGTGCCAACCTAGTTGGGATCAATTTGCTCATTGTGATGTGTTGCACTCCCATGCCCTTTATTGATGTATTTAACTTGTTTCATTGTGCTTGTTTGTTCATCAATAAAGTTTTATTTTGCCGATCAAAAAAAATAGATATACGTTGTGACTTATTAAATTCATTCTTGTAGCATTCTTTCAGCAGAATTTATTCGTACATCTATACATGGTGTTGGCAATATGGATGCAGTAATATTGTCAAAAATAAAAGCAAGGGCAAGTCTACCCAAAAATGGTGAAGATAATGAAGTAAGCATGATATGTGTTCTCTTTTCTTGTTGTACATCTACATGGTACTGCTATGATATCCTCAAACTATTTCTTTTCCCTTATGCCCCACGACTTAGGAATGTATAAGTTATGGCCACCAATTTCTGTTTCAGCTTGTGTGGCTTGTTTTCTCTTTGATATGCATTGGCTTCATATTTTGGGGCTTAAATTGTTTAGTTCCTTGATACGCCTAATTAAAGATATTGAGGTGGTTAAGTCTCTTATATTTCTATGTTTCAAAAGTTTATCCTTATATTGCTCTAGCCTTTACTGTGATATGTTTAGAATGATATTCTTAACTTCTTTTGTGTGTAACTTTTTATTTTTTATTTTGCTTCAATCTGTGCAAGTTGGTGTGTGATTTCCAAAGCTAGGTCCTTTGCTGAACTGTAAAACCAATGACCGAAGTTGGCATGTTTGTAGGTTAAATTGGATGAAGAAGAAATATCCTATTGGACCATTTTACTATCCTTTATTTATTTATATATTTTTGTTTATGAATTTTCTTTTGTTTTGTTTATGAACCTTATCTTGCTCATGAATGGAGATTCATTACTTTGGTATCTTTTTGTCTTGTTCATGAATAAAGATTAATTAGAATTCATGAACTTAGTGGTGAATTCATATTTGGATACACTCTCTCTTTTCTCTAGGTTCATGGTCATTATTATTTTTTGGTGTATTTTGTAAAGTCCTAGTGACCTATAAATAGTTCCTCTCATCTACTCTTTTCTACACTAACACACCAACTATTTTCTATACTTGAGAGATTACTAGCAAAGAAGGGTGTTTTTCTTGGTAGAGCTTTGGGTTCACCATCTTGTGCAGAGTTGGCTTGAACCATACGACAAGTGATCGGGTTGTTGTATCCTGGAGGGGACAAGTCATAGTTTTGTGACTGCTGCATCGGTATTTGGGTTCTTCCTACCGCAGTGGGCTTGATCTCTTTAAAGAAAACGAGATATCCGTGCCTCAGCCTGATCTATTTGTATATCGTTTTCTTTGCATTATTTATCAATAAAATATATTTTTCTGGTATTTTCACCAACAATTTTAAGGAGATCAACCATGGATCAAGTACCAGAAAAACCAATGATGGAATTAGAGATCTCAACAAGCCTTTTAAGTTCAAGGGAGTTCATTTAAAAGATGGGAAGGAAAAGTTCTTTTTTACCTTAGTCTTTTGAAAGTTGTATATGTTCTTACCGAAAAGAACCCAAACAAAATCCTAACCGAGGAGATGAATGATGAAGACTATGAGACACATGAAGTAAAAGTGGCTTCATATAATACGGATGAGTATAAATGTCATTTTTATCTCTTAAATTACCTTGCTGATCAATTTTATGATTACTATGACACCACTTATACTTTGTCTTCTATTAATTTTTGGCATGCTCGCTTGTGTCATATTAACAGTAAATATGTGGGAATCATGAGTGTTTAGGATTAATTCCTAAAGTGACAAAATTTCTTGAGAAATGTGAAGTTTGCAGTAAAGCAAAAATTACCAAGAGGCCTCATAAAAGTGTTGAAAAAAATATCGAATTGCTAAAATTATTTCATACTGATTTGTGTGAGTTTGAAGGAATTTTAACTCGGGGTGGTAACCGATATTTTTTCACTTTTATTGATGATTTTTCAAAATACACAAATGTATATTTATTAAAAAATAAATATGATGCTTTTGAGAAATTTAAAAAATTCCTTCTTGAAGTGAAAAATCAATTCAGTAAAAAGATTAAGAGAATTAGAAGTGATAGAGGCAGCGAGTATGAATCTCTTGGATTCAACTCTTTTGTTCAGTCATTGAGAATTATTCATGAGACTACTCCACCATATTCACCTTCTTCTAATGGTGTAGCTGAAAGAAAAAATAGAACGTTAATTGACTTGACGAATGCTATGCTTATTTATTCAGGTGCTCTTTCAAATCTTTGGGGCGACATTATTTTGACAGTTTGCCATGTGATAAATAAAGTGCCACACAAAAAGACTAAAATTGTACCTTATGAGTCGTGGCGGGGGCATAAACCAAATCTAGGTTATTTGAGGGTTTGGGGTTGTTTAGCTTTTGTGGGGCTTGTAGATCCTAAACGACCTAAATTGGGTGAACGAGCTACCATCTGTGCTTTTCTTGGGTATGCGTTTTATAGTACAGCTTATAGATTTTTTCATATGAAAAATAATATTATTTTTGAATCAGGTGATGCTATTTTTCATGAAAATAAGTTTCTTTTCAGATCTAGAAATAGCCGGAGTCAAATAATTTCTGAAAATATTTTATCCGTGCCTAACTCTTCCATTCCATCTCAAGTTTTTTAAGAACAAGAAAATTCTCAAATCTAACCAAGGAGGAGTAAACGAGCTAGAGTTGAAAAAAAATTTGGCCCTGACTATTATCTATACAATGTGGAAGAAATTCCTCTTACGGTGCAAGAAGCTTTATCATCACCTGATACTATTTTCTGGAGAGAGGTTGTAAATGATGAGATAGATTCACTATTTTCAAATAAAACATGGAAGCTAGTGGATTTACCTCAAAGTTGTAAAACTATTGGATGTAAATGGGTCCTTCGTAAAAAACTTAAACCAGATGGAACTATAGATAAATATAAGGCGAGGCTTGTCGCTAAAGGTTTTAAACAACAAGTTGATATTGATTTCTTTGATACTTTTTCTCTGGTTACTAGAGTTACATCCATTAGACTATTGATAGTAGTGGCTGTAATTCATGATTTAAAAATTCATCAAATGGATGTAAAAATAGCATTTTTAAATGGAGATCTAGATGATGAGATTTACATGGACCAACCCGAAGGCTTTGTGGGGCCTGGCCAAGAAAGGAAGGTGTGTAAGCTAACTAAATCCCTTTATGGTTTAAAACAAGCTCCTAAACAGTGGCATGAGAAATTTGATTCCTGCATACTTGAGAATGGCTATAAGACTAATGAATGTGATAAGTGCATATATTATAAAACTTGTGAGAATGCACATGTGATTAGTAGCCTATATGTGGATGATCTACTTATCTTTTACTCTAATTTGCATATTATAAATGAGACTAAAAATATGCTTAATAACCACTTTGATATGAAAGATCTTGGTGAAGCCAATTTTATTTTGGGAATTAAAATTACCAAGACTAATGATGGTATTTTTCTTGATCAGTCGCATTATGTTGAGAAAATTTTAAAGAAATATAATTTTTTAGACTGTAAACATGTTGCTACTCCTTTTGATGCAAGCATACATTTATCTGTTGTAACAAATGAAAAAAAAGTGATTAATCAAAAGGAATATGCTAGCATGATTGGTAGTTTGAGATATGCTATTGATTATACTAGACCTGACATTGCATATGCTGTTGGAGTACTTAGCAAGTTTACTAGCAAGCTAAGTCGAGATCATTGGCTAGCTATGGGAAGAATTATGAGTTATTTATCTGGTACCAAAAATTATGGTTTATAACAAGTATCCTACGGTACTTGAGGGATATAGTGATACCGATTGGAACACTTTGTCAGGTGATTCTCTCTTTACCTCGGGTTTTATTTTTACCTTAGGTGGTGGTGTTATATGTTGGAAGTCTAAAAAACAGACTATAATTGCTAATTCTACAATGGAAGCTGAGCTTATAGCAGTAGC